GCAAACAGTAATTCCTGATTATTACAAAAAGACTTCTAAAAGTACCTTGCCCCTCATGTTCATGCCGGTGTTAGTCATGTTGGCTGTAGATGTGCTGTTGCTGGGAACTGATATCCTACCTGGTCAACCCTTGTCTTTTATACCTGACTAACGTAAATAATTAGTGACCCCTCCCCCTCAGAGAACCCCCTACTCAGCAACTTACCATTGAAGCCCACAGAATGCAGAGAATTAGTTCATTTTTCAGGGACCTGGTTCTTTGTAGTAGAGGACAACTGACGCTTCACAATGATCTGACAAAAAGACTAGCATGTTCTTTGCCCTTTTCCCAAGTATGACACACTGCTTTGTACACACTGATTGTTCATTCACATTTACATTATTGTTCTCCTGACAGTCAACAATGCAAAGGCTCCCTCAACTAAAAGCAATGATTTTTCATTGGATTTCAGTCTATTGCAGAGAGAAGCTGGAAAACACACACTTTATGATACTTACATGTTTGTTCAGAAGGATAACCTCCACTTATTAACACCACCTTAGTGATTTTAGAAGCGTAAACGCAATCGGCAGAAGTAAAATGCTAAAGCTAGGCTGTAAACAAACAACATCACCACGGCTAAGCTAAAAGCGGCTAATGCTCAGCATAATGACGTTTAGTGGTGTCATTGAGTCACTGGTTGATCCTTTTCATGACACATAAAAGCTTTAGACATTCACCAGTTGAAATGTAATGATATATTTTATGTCGTAGATCAAAATGGGAAAAAACATCTTCAACTTGTGTTAGCTAGTGCTGGGGGGAAACGATTATTTTGAAAACGATTAATCGGGCGATTATTTGATCGATTAGTCGACTAATCGAACGATTATTTTTCTGTTGTTCAATTCATAAAAAACGTAATGTAAAAAAAACGTAATGTAAAAAAAAATTTTTTCACGATACTGTGTCTCAGGGGATCTTAATATTTAAGAACCTATTAATGTGTTATACCAGATTAACGGAAATAATCTCAGCTAACTGACGATACAAACCATGTTTACCAAAACAAAACACAAGTCTCATAAGAAGCATCTAAATGACCCCATAGCGAAAAATGCTAACGGACATTGGCACAGATCTCAAGATAAAAGTACCCTTATTACTTATCATAGCTGCACTTACAAGATATCCGATTAAAGCTGAGACTCCACAGATTATGTAGGTACATAGTATCATCACTGAGTGATCCGGACTCGCGACAGGGGAAGCAAATACAGTCATCACAACACGTACCTTCACAGAGCTTCTAGGGAGATCGTCTCACCGCCGTAGCTGTCAATCTGATCAAAATACGTGTTCAATGGCATTACAATGAGAAAAAACGCGGCTGAATCGGTTAATCCATAGGTTTTTAACGTCTATGTATAAAAAAAGTATTGAATTTATAATCCATAATTCCATTTTAATGTAAAAATCGGAGAGCAAATGCTAGCTGCTAATTGTTGCCACCACAGCTATCTGCTGCTTCCGGTCAAGCAGCAGTCTCAGTGAGATATAAATATATAAATATCTTTGCGTTTTGGACTAACTTTAAAATATTCCCATGCTTTTGAAGACCTGGGGCGAGATGTTTTCGTTTGGGGGCTTCGTGCGCAATCCTGTGAGGAGGAGGTGGTAGCCGTTTCAGTCTCCATTGTGTTAGAAGTGCGATTGCGAACTGCTTGTTGCTTTGGGTGACCCACGTGTGTGTGGCGACCATATATACAGTCTATGGTGGCGATGCGTCGACGCGGAAATATGTCGTCGACGATATTTTGAAGTCGACGCGTCGACGGCTACAGCACTAGTGTTAGCTACAGATTCTTATTTCAGACCTCTAACCAAAAACATGTTTACTTTGAGACGAGGCTAAACTTCTAGAACGCCCTTAACTCTGTATTCTTGGTGTTTTATCTGTGATTCCAAGACTTAATAGCCACCACAAAAACACTAAATGTTTTTTTCTCTTCACCATGCGTGTCAAACAATATCCATCTTTTGGAAAAACCCAGAAAATCAGTCAATGCTTAAAAAACCTCTCATGTCTGGCCTTAGAGAAATTAGCCTTTGCTATAAAGAGAGAGCCTGATACCTTCTAAATTTGAAATAGTATGCAATATATCACTGGAAAGTACATAGCTTCTGTTTTTGATTAATTTATGTTGTTTTATATTCTCTCTTTTGAGTTATCACTTACTACTAGGGCTGCTGAATTAATCGTATTTTAATCGCAATTACGATTATGGCTTGCAACGATTACGAAAACAACGTAATCAAAATAAAACTATTTGTTTTTTATTTATTCTAATTTTTTATTATTTTTTTTAATTGGTTTTTCAGTTGAATTATACTTAAAGTTCAGGGTAATCAACTTTTAAAAACATACTGTTCACATTTTTTTTTCTCCAATAAATTGATGTTTTCAAAGTAAATAATAAATAAATAATCGTGATATCAATTATTGACCCAAATAATCGAGATTATAATTTTTGCCATAATCGAGCAGCCCTGCTTACTACTAATATTCTGTATATATACATGTATATATATGTTTTGAACAAAATATATTGTAACTGTTGGTTGTATTTAATGTCTTCTTATTTGGGGGAGGGGAAATACATTTATGTAATGTCTTTTGCTGGAAAAAACGAGATGCCCCAAATAAAAGGTGCCATAACAAATCAACTTTGAGACTACACTGTAGGGGAATTAGAAGTGTTAAAATTCATACTGATTTGCGTGTTTTAGGACTCTTTCATGCACCACTCTCTATATTTCTAGCACCACCTGGAAAGCTGCTTTGTGTAAAGTGACTGTGAGGCAGGTTTCCAGTAGGTCAGACAAAAGAGGAGAGGTGGTTACTTTGAGTTGGCTCAGCATGCAGCGGCTGCAGTTTCCTGTCAGTGCAGTCGTTTTTTTAAAAGCACCTCCTCCTCTCTGATGGCCTGTGGCTGGGTAAAAGCTCCCTCAAAGCGTGACCTCTCCACCCATCATCTGTGTAACCATAAGTGAAGCAGCAGACAGAGCTCCAGCTGTGCCCACTCTCCATCCACATCAAACCCTTCTCCTCTCCTTCTCTAATAACCGTTTGTAGCATTTTCTACACCTCGTTTTCCCATTTCTGTCTCCACGCTACATGCTCTAATGTTCCTCTTATACTTCTGTCCAAACTTACATTTATCCTGCTCACTTTAACTGCCTTATTATTTTTCCCCTTTTTCATATTTTTCATTCTAGACAGTCACAATACCGAATCCTACATTTAAGATAAGATACACCTTTTTATTGATCCCTGTAGGGAAATGTAGGTCTTTTAGAAGCAACCCAATTAAGATAAAGACACAGGAAGGTGTTTCAACTAGGGATAATTAGAATAACAAATTTAAAAAAAGTGACAGAATACATGTAAGTGTGAAAGTGTCAACATATACAGTGCAAGTCTTAGGTACTAGGGGTGTAGAATTCACCGTTTGGTATGTACCTCGGTTTGGGGGTCACGGTTTAGTAGGGGTTCGGTACAACAAGAAAAAGCATGTTATTTATTTTGAACAGTCGTGCAAGTTTCAGTTTAAAAATAAGGAACTCTAACATATTGAATAATTAACTTTATTACACAGCTAAAAACAAACCACAAACAGTACCACACACACACTCAGATGGCCATAGTATCTATAATGGCTGATGTCAAACAAAAAGGTTCAATAAGCTGTAAAACTTCTTGTATTTTGTTCGTTTTGTTGCGTTTTCTTCTTCTTCATGTGTTGTTTAAGGGCGGTTGGCAAACAGCTTTTAGGCGCAATACCGCCCCCTGGATTATATATAGTGTAGTGGATACTGCCCTGAATGACAGACTTTTGTCCTACCATACTTGCCAACCCTCCCGATTTTCACGGGAGACTCCCGATTTCATAGCCCTCTCCCGGTTTTCTCCCGGGGTCATATTTCTCCCGATTTCTGACAAAATCAGATTTACTCAGGACTGTTTCCACTCTGACTTTAATACAGCTACACCATTGTTTGGTTTCCATGGTAGCGCGTCTCTTTAGCAGCGCGAGCAACTGAAAGTCTGAGAGTGTGAGGAAGATAGTCACAGAAAGCAAAACAACAATCGACAACTCGACCCTCTGCTCACTCCTTCCCCGTAAAATACAGGTCCAGCCCACACATATGCTCCATCAAGAGGATGGTGCTACAGGCTGCAAGGCAGTGCACTTACAACTACAATAAGCATGTTAATGTTAATCTAATACAGCTCCGGCAAACCCCCCCCCCCCCCACACACGGTGGTTTTGAAATGCTCCCGATTTCTGAGGCCTCAAGGTTGGCAAGTATGTGTCCCACTCGTTAAAAAAAAGGCGTATTCGTCGTGTGACTACAGATACCGTTACACCCCTATTAGGTACATATACAGTGCAGGTTGCTATGAGGGGGTCAATCCTGGTGGCTACTGGGACAAAAGATTGACCGGGGCGCAACAAAACCAACCCATGGAACAAAAACAGACAATACAACAACAAAAACAAGACAAAACAGCAGCAGTAACAGCTAAGTAAGTACAGTGTGAACATTTCTATTATACAGTATCTACGCCCTTAGTTAGAACACTAAACTATTCCTCTTGATGGTTAATGCTATGGGGAACAGTCCGTAGCAAATGTATCAAGAGTTCCTCTCATCACATGTAATAATCCCTCCAATGACAAAATGGACATCATATTTTCAAACCATAATAAGATATCAGGGGGAACTTCATCCAACCATTTCTGTAATATCGTGAGGCGTGCAGCTTGGAAAGCAATTCCAGGAATGTGTCTGCGTTTGCGAGTCTAATCCGAGAACAAAACGATATGGATTAAGATATCTATTTATCTATCAATGTTTTTGCAGCAAGGCTCTCCATCATCTGACAACCTTTGGAGCCAGTTTTAGAAACTTCCACTGTAAATGCTAAAACATTTTTAACATTGTTTTTCCTCAGGTATCAAGATTCAAGAACCACTATGGACGGCCCAATCAGTTTGTCAGCGCTCTAAAGCTTTGAAGGTAAGATTTTACTTTCATTTTTGTATGTGTCATGTTTAATCATTTACGAGAAAAGTAATATTCCAATAACCATCACACCGGTATCACATTTCTTTATGGTTCTTGTAAAAATCACCAGGGAAGTATTTCATTAGAGTAAAACCCAATAAAGAATATAGAGCATTTCAGATCTCACACTGTTTTACCTTACTCTACATCTAATACAATTTCATATTATCACCCAATCTGATTTTATGATCTCTGTAAAACCACAACACAGCAAGTTATCAGATGGACAAGCAGTTTTTTAAATCTCTTATAACAACAAGATTCCCTCATAAAAACCTTCCCTCTGGCAAACCCTCATAAGTGCCTGTTTCACAAAAAACAAACCCAGAAATAAACGAAATAGCATTCTGACTGAGTGCGTTTTTGCCCGTGAGCATTTCTCTTAAAGAACCAGGAATAAACACGCCACGCAGTGAGGTATTGTTCTCTCCAGCTTTCCATCTTTATAGTGAAGGCTGTGGCATTTCACTGGCAATGTGTGTGTGTGTGTGTGTGTGTGTGTGTGTGTGTGTGTGTGTGTGTGTGTGTGTGTGTGTGTGTGTGTGTGTGTGTGTGTGTGTGTGTGTGTGTGTGTGTGTGTGTGTGTGTGTGTGTGTGTGTGTGTGTGTGTGTGTGTGTGTGTGTGTGTGTGTGTGTGTGTGTGTGTGTGTGTGTGTGTGTTTTCAAGCCAGATGCAGAATGTTAATGAGCTTGAAAGCCTCGGTGTTGCTCTACCTGACAGCTTGACGGCCTGTGTGTGTGAGAACATGTATTTATGTCCACAACCTTCCTGTGGACTATTAAAGATCAGAGCAATTTTTTTTTACCAGTAAGAGGGATAATCCTGAGAGCTGCTGAATCGGCGTGTTGAGCAGAGAGGTTGGTTAGTTGATCAGCCGCCTCCCAGAGGAAGTGTCTGCTGGAGAGGCTGAGCTCACTCTCTCTGTGTCTGCCTCGCCTTTAGCTGTTTGGTTGGTAAAATATGGATTAATCTTCTGGTCGGAGCATCCTCCCCCCTCCCCCTCCCCTCCCCCTCTGTCTGTCTCCCCCATGAAGTGCTGAAATAGAAATGTTACCAGAGGATGTTGTAGGAAAGGTCATCTCCCTTTATCCCCTGTTTTTCCAGTAAATAGTCTCTGTATTGTTTTGTTTTCTGTACACAAATCCAGGGTCTAGAGATTGGAAGTGTTTTCTGCTACAAACAAAAGGGTTATTGTGAGTTTTATATCGCATTGTTATCATAGTTTTACCGGTTTAATGACAAGCATGTTGTGTGAAACAATTCAAGCAGGGTAACAACCTGAAACTAAGCAATGTGAGTTGTGTTACCTAAAAAATGTACGTTTTATTGGCTTATTTGAAATGTTTGAACTTGTTCTACAGTGTTGTTCATGTTTACCATTAGAAGCTCTTATTTATGGAAACAGCTTCACAGTTTGCTGCGCCTTTTCATCCAGACATAGCCCAAGGTCTCCTCTAATGGCTTTCCCATGTGATGTTATTCAATGTGCAGAGACTTTGTTGGCTTTCCTTGGCCCCCTTTGTTATGTCACCTTCCATGCACGGTGTTACGCTCTTGGGCATTATTGTATTTTTTGCAGACATGCACCTCAGCCTCATGCAGGATCACTTCCTCCTGCAGTTCACAGAGCTCTCCTGATGCCTTGCCTCTTCCCAAGAGCGGCGTAATTGAGATTCAAAAAGCCTGTCCTGCATTATAAAACAGCCAGCCCCTTCTATTCATGTGTAAATGCTGATGATTCATAGTACTGTGTGCGTAGCTTCCTACTATTACTATGAAGATTGGTTGAACTTTGATGGCTAATGTGTTTCTATTTCCGCCTCCCACGCAGCACAGTCTTTACAAGCTCTCGGGAAAAGAGGAATAACATTGATCTCTGCGTTTAAGAGGCTAATCTCGCCTTGATTAAATGTGATCCAGTCAGTACATTCAGTCCGAGGCACCATCTGCAGATACGTTGCACAGATGCATTGATGTGTCAACTGTATCCACTGAGCCGATTAATTTAGGCTGAATATTAAGAGAGGCGTCCATTTTGCAGATGAATGAAGCCCGGTGGTATTTCTGCACAGCGATAGATTTACTTGCCAATATCCTGGTTGGCTCATGTTTATTCAGATGCATGCTGGTTCCTCTTGGCACTCTGTTATGTTATGGAGCAATGTCAGATAAAGCAGAGCTGTTTAGCATGGTAAACAATCTTCTTCCTGTTGGGGATCTTTTAGGCAGATTTAGTGGTGGGGTTTTTGTGGCAGAAATGATGATGAAAGTGATTCTAGCCTATATCTGCAACAGCGTTTCCAGATATACAATAAATACCCCAGTTGTACAATAACCCTCTTTACAATGTAGAACCAATAAAAGTACCATGATACGCTATATTGTTTTATGTGTTTTAAAACCACTTTCACTCAGCAAAAATACAATTTACCCTAAAAAAAACTACACACTAAGGCCCAATCCCAAACTACCTCCTACACCCTACCCCTCCGTCAGGGTCCGCCACATTAAGTGCTGTTCCAAACCAACGAGTATGGAGCGGTGTGGAGGGGGAGTGGGCTATCAAGCCATCACACAGCGAGTCTGCAGCGGTGCTGACTTGAGACCGGTCTCTACCTGACCGGAGTCACGCTGTGTGTGTCCGTCAGGAAACAAGCTGTTAACAAGTAGTTCCAGCAAACATCCACTGATAAACTGCGATGTTAACAACCTCATGATAACCTCATATGTCTTTAACTTAGGATCATACCTGTGTTTAGTCTAGAAAAAGGTAAATGTGTGCATTTTATTACAAAGTTGCGTACATTTACAGACTGTTGCAAAAACTAAGAAGCTTATAAACATCAGGTTTAAAACTAAAAGAGCTTTACAAAAAAGTAACACAATTAAAGATGTTTGGAGTTTTATTTGAGTTATTCATTTTATTTTTTGTCAAAGAGATGCTGATTTGAAACCGTTGTTACATACAGTTACGGCATTTCCTGTTTCTGCCGGAGAGAGGGGAGGCCGTCCCAAAGCTTGCTGCTGTATTCCCTCCATCCGACAGGAGGGAGCCTCGTTGAGCTGCGAGTGTGGCTACAGACGGAGTTCACTCCGTCACGGAGGGGTAGTGTGTAGGGGTAGGGTGTAGGGCGTGGTTTGGGATTGGGCCTAAGTGTTTTTTTTGTTTTCTTGAATTCATACTTGGTTTAGAACCTGTGACCATTTGGTTCCCAAGCTAAGTCCATGATCTAGTCAAGTCAAAGTCAGTCAAAGTCAAATGTATTGTCAATCTTTCAGTTTGTGTGTACAGACAGAGATTGAAATACCGTTTCCCACAATCCCCAATACAAAAATACAAATATATATAAAAATATGTATACAAATATGTATATACTAGGGCTGTCAAACGATTAAAATTTGTAATCAGATTAATCACAGCTTAAAAATTAATTAATCATGATTAATCACCATTCGAACTATTTTCCAAAATATGCCATTTATTTATGCATATTGTTGTGGGAATGGAAAGATAAATGAAAGAAGGCGGATATATCCATTTAACATACAGTATCTATGTTTATTATAACATTTTTCTGTGTGTCAAAATGAAAGACAACCCACACACCTATCAATCATCAAACCGTGGGGTCTTAATTCATTACGTGTTGATTTCTATCAACGGTGGAGTACTTCAGGAAAGTCGACAGAGTGGGGGGGGGCGGCTAGTGGAGTACTTCGTGACCACAGAGTGTGAACGTTGTGATCAGCTGTTTTAGCGCAGTTCTCCAGTGAAGGGGGGGAGTCTCCCTCCGCCGCCGGTTGGCGTAGTTTTGGCACAATTCCGTTGTACAGACCGACGTTAACAGCAGCCCTGTCTGTGCACACGGAGACCGACTCTGTCGTCCGGTGATCTAACCGCCTTCTGGAAAAGCTTCACAAGTACGTCGGTACGCAAATGCGCTTTGTGACACAAGTGACGGTACGCATTTCAGATTACGCACATAACCTGCGTACCAGTTATGTGCACCCCTGTACTACAGCAAAAGTATTCTCCGTCGGGACTTCCTGCAACAACACCACGCCGTTATTAAAGATGTTCTATTGAGAAGACGATCACTACGTGACAAAAGTTTTCAAAACCGTGGCTACTGAAATCAATCTTACTAACTGCTGTCTGTGCAATTTACTCCGCGCGAGTTGGCAGACTTTATTTTGCTTACTTTAACATCATTTTTCATGGTGGGGCTAAGCCATTTCTTGGTATGGGTGTAGCCTACCCCAGCCATACCCTGGCGCTGCCACTGGTGGCACGTATGGGGCGGGCCATTCTGCACATGCGTTAAATGCGTTAAATATTTTAACGCAATTAATTAATTAACCTATATATATATATATATATATATATATATATATATACAATTAAAGACATATTTATACATATGCACACATAAAGACATAAATAAAAGCACAACAATCAATATATACAAAATAACAGTCACTTCAATATCTTAATAATCTACTGTTGCCCCCTCATAGCTATAGGTACAGTAGTACAGTTGTGGATGTGTCAAAAAGTAGTTCTCAGTGAAAGTACCTCATTTACACCTAATTATTCTCCTAGTTATGATTCCTGTACAATCCTTTCCCTCTAAATAGGATCATTGTAAGCTGGTATGGTAGTCTAACAGTTCCCATCTGGCAGCGCTGAGCGGCATAATCATGCAGTACATTAGTAAAAAATACAATTTTACCCCCAGAAAACGACACACTATTTTTTTTAATTTTTTTTTTAATCCATACTTGGTTTTACAACCTGTGACCATTTGGTTCCCAAGCCAAGTCCATGATCTACTGTCGCCCCCTTATAGCTACAGACAGTATATTGGTAGTACAGTTGTGGGTGTGTCAAAAAGTAGTTCTCACTGAAAGTACCTCATTTACGCCCAATTATTCTCCTAGTTATGATTTC